GTAACAGCACAACACGAGAAAAAAATGTAAACTAGACAAAGTGATGCCCCCGCACTCAACTCATTTAACCGCTTATACCCCAAAATGACCAAAAAAAGTTCAATTATCTCCCAAAAGAGCAAAAGATAATAAAAATAAAAACCCTGACCACATGCATACCTTCAATATATGTACAAACAGCCAGCAGAGTGAAAACTCCATAGCATTCAAACTGTAGGAGGAGTTATCTGGAAACGCTCTTCTTATGCAAGTAAATTTACCAAAAAATTACAAAGTTCAACTATCTCTCAGAAGAGCAAATATTGATAAACATTAAACCCTGACCACATGCACACCTTCAATATATGTACAAACAGACAGTAAAGAGAAAACTTCCTAGGATTCAAACTGTAGGAGGAATTATGCGGAATAACTATATACCCATAATGGAACGGACAGACGGACGGACGGACGGACGGACGGACGGACAGACAGACAGGGGTAAAACAATATGCCCCCCAACTTTCAGTTGCGGTGGCATGCAAAACAGTTTCATTTGGCTGATTCAATAGATCGGTATGACTGGGTAATATAAATCCATCGGGGTGATCTCGGATGCTCCAGAAAGGCACCCGTCGTGTTATTTGAGAAAGTACAAACCCAGTGATTTGGTTTTATTTGGTAGTTTACATTCAAGGAAAAGATGACGGTATTATGGTTACGACCGCTGGAACATGTCCGTCGTCACATGTGAAACAGATATTCCAAAAAGTTTATTTTTCAATTAGTGCGAGGTAGATCAGGGAATTCAATTGATTACAAATAAAAGATTGATATTCGTATAAGTTCATGATGATTTACTCTACAAAAAAATTCGGAGAATTCTTATTTTATAGTATTGATGCTTTGTCGCTTAGTCCGAGCCCCCCTCCCCCCGTTTCCCTGTAACTTTAGTGTCAGTTGATTTGAAGTGTTTCATTTGTTAACAATAAAGTTCAAGTCTTTTGATTTGTGTCGAGCCTGCGACATCAATGTAGCGGCAATGAGACACAACAAACCTATATTTCGTCGTCGATAGTGGCGTCGGCGTCTCCATCTCCATTTTTTTTATTTCTATTGAGTTTAACCTTTCATTATATATGTTACTAAACATGTATGCCATCATAATTAATATCATACTGTATTTGTTTACCTCGACTATTGTATCTGTATTTATATTGTATGTTTCTCTGTAAACCTGTATTTAGTTTTTAGAGAATAAAGTATCTATGTATCTATTTATAGATCGTTAGGTTTCTAGTTTTTTAAATTTTTCATTTCGGGACCTTTTATAGCTTACTATAGGGTATGGGTTTTGCTCATTGTTGAAAACCATACAGTTTTGTTTTAGTTAAATAAAACCGAATTCAACTGTTTTGACATGATAAATTTGTAAACCTCCATGAAGCAGCAATATCAAGCGAGACACATGGTTCCGTGGAATATTTTACAAATTTATTACAAAAATACTGCTTCCGTTTGAGAACTTAGGATAAAAACAACAGGACCAAGTGGTTTGGTGATATCCCAATTATGTCCGAAATACTGTAAACTTTTTAATACTTTTTTCTTATTATTGTCTGCCGTTCCCCTTTTTCATACCAAATAACTCTGAACAACCACTCGAACTTTAGTTTGAACTTTAACTCAATGGATAGCGATACCCATCCAAAGCACATTAAACAAACGATGTATTGAAATCTGTTTAAAAATAGAACATATTTTTTCCGAATTGGTCACGTGGTTTTACCTCATCAAGTAATGGGATAACCACATCAAAGAATGACAGGACCACATCAAATAATGAAACAAACACATCATGTAGTGTAAAATCGTCAAATTTTGAAACATCATTGCATAATGTTAAAACCATATAAAGAATAGGCAAATCATCATTACGATATAACAAAACCACATCATGTAATGAAACAACTACATAACGTTGAGTCACATTCACATCAAGTAATGTTAAAACCACATTGACTAATGACACAACCACATTAAATAATGGTGAAACCACATCGAGTAATGACAAAACCATATTGAGTAATGACAAAACTATATCAAGTCAATACGAAACCATATCGTGTAATATCGAAATATCATTAAGTAATATCTATTCCATATTGAGTTATATCAAAACATCATTACGTAATGTCAAAACCATATTAAGTAAAGACAAAATATCATCAAGTAATAATAAAACAACATAAAGTAATATCAGAGTTCCACATGAGACAGCTGTGGCGTTCCATAGTTATCATTCTCTTAGTATATGTAAGAGAATGATAATCCCTTTCTTTATGATTAAGTACGAGAGTTAGCGAGTACTTATCATGAAGTAAGGGATTAACATTTTCTTACAAACTTAGAATATAACAAAGTGCTTAAGGCTCATATAATCTCTTGATTGGTTGTATTCAGGAATTAGATTCATTGTCAATGCAATGTTTATAATTGATGCATAACTTCCTTTTTCGGCATTTCATTTATGGATAGTTTTAGCGATGTACGGACTGTCTTATAATTTGGGAAATATTAAAAAAAAAGGGTTATAGACATAAGATGACACAACAGTACAAAGAAAATGTAGGAATTGTTTATGTTTCCTGATTGTGAATATGAATGTAAATCATGTAATATTTTAGAGAGGAATTAGCTTTTTTTCTTTTAAAGTTTAAATCAATAAATACATTTGAGTTGCAACTACATTTTATTTCACAGCCGGCTATTTACATGACATACTATTTCATTATGTCAGGGAAATGGTCAAATAAAATGCCTTTAAAGTTTTAAATATGTTCAATTAAATTCCTGTTTTTTGTTTTGTTTTGTTTATTTTATCGAAATATTGGAAATAACTAATCTGCCCAATCGCTGATCCAGTAATCAAAGTTTTGGAAAGATAAAGATTTAGGTTTTTTTTCTATTTTAAAACTTTTTTTCTATTTTAAAACTTTTTTTCTTTTTTTGCATTGCTTATGATATTGTTTAATTTTTTTAGTAATTTTAAGTTATTGATATTTTCATAATAACATTAACGGTACCAATTTTACCCCCACCAGTAAACTTCAACATACTTAGATTTGTTTGTTTGTTTGTTTCACAATTCAACGTTTAGTCAGTTTCAATCACTGTGTGATAAATCCTTTCAATCTGATAAATGTGCTCGTTGTTTTGAACTGTAAATAGACCCAAATAATAGGATACTCCCTAACTAAGAACATGATTTACATCCATTCTTCACAATTAAGAGACACTAAATCCTACAATTCATTGGTCAAGAGCACTTTGCTATATTCTAACATAAACTAATTCGAAATATTAGTTATGTTGATCTGTAATATACATTTGTATCTAATAAACTTGACCAACTTCTTAAAATTAGGCAGACACTACGCGTACATGTAACATAAATATTATCCCCAATAAAATATTGTCCGCGGACACTATTTCATAATGAAGTACTTTCCAGGACAATATTTCATTAGGAAATAGTGTCCTTGTCCATGAAATTTTGTCACCTCCTTCTGGACAATATTTCATTATGAAATTCTGTCCATGACAATATTTCACTATGAAATACTGTCTATTATGACATTATTTCATGGGAAATTCTGTCCATGACAATATTTCACTGTGAAATACTGCCCATGAAAATATTTCTTAATCAAATTATTACAAAATTAGAAATAGTACACAAGCATGCAGCATGCACATTTTTAGATTTATAACTGAAATTATTTTGTAAAGTAAGTATTTTATATTTCAAACTAATATCTATTTTAACATAAGCTAGTTTCAAATTTGCATAGATACTTTTAAGTTTATAATTTGTTTGTTATAGATTAAAGAATTGTCTAACGTATGTTCCATTGTACTACATTATACTGTATGAATATAAGTAATGTACTGACTATCACTTATTTATGTTCAAAATTGAATGTACTAATAGTATTCGTAAATACTAGATTGACGAATCTTTTGGTAAAGGAGTTTTGGAGGTACAGCAGTAGAATGTAACTGGAATATTAATTTGTGTTTATATGTTATTATCAGTCAAATAAAATATCATTATCCTACATGATATGTGTTGATAACCTCCCCTTCATGAGACAAAATTTCATGACAATCTGTCTATGAAAAATTATCTTAATACACACAAAATATAACCTCCCTTTAACTGGACAAAATTTCATAATATTCATCTGTGAAATATTGTCTATATACAGACAAAATTTCACACAGGAAATTTGTCCTTCTCTGGACATTTTTTCATAGATACATAGTCATGAAATATTGTCTTGAGGAACAATATTTCATAGGACAATATTTTGCTTTACATACAGTCCAGCTGTATGCGTATTTTAAAAAAGTACGCATACGGTCCAGACCAGACCGTATGCGTACGATCCAAATACTCATATGGTCGGGAACATAACCATTACAATCGTTTTAATCCTTAATATGATTGACCTATCGTTGATTAATGAACCACTGAAATGACTCTGGAGGATAATTGTCTCACTGGCAATCATACCATACCTCCTTATTTTTATATAAAAATGATGTTAAGGTCAGGTGAAACCTGTCTCGCGGGCAGGTTTACCTAGCAATGATCATTTATACCAAATAGAGTTCAAGGACAACGATGGAAACTTCAGACAATCAGGCATGTATAACGATTTTCAAGAGAAGTTGAGTTTTCAAGTAAAATTAAAGTCATGAATTTATAGATAACTGAATGCATATTACAAATGCTGACTACCTCAATAAATGTGTACAAAAAGTATCAAACAGAAACCCAGTTTAAAAGAGTGCAACTTAAAAAAATAAACGTTACAATGCCGAATTAAATTACATCTTTTTGTACAATTAAAGGTTATTAGATGAAGTACTTCTAATTCCAATACGGGTAAGTTAAGCAATGACGGATGTTTCATGTTAAATAAGTAAACAAAATATAAATGTAATATATTCACCCGCAAAAGTATCCATATTAACCGTCGTCCATTTTGTCATTGTGAAATATGTTGATTGCATTATGTTACGTTTGTGTACGTCTTCAACTTTTCATTTATTCATTTAATAATTGCAATCCAATACGTTAATTCGTTTAAAGGTTATTTATCAATGGACAACTTTTCAGAAAATGAAGAACCATCAAAGAGGTTAAAATCTTATATTTTGGTAAACAACATAATTATAGCATGAAAGGTCAGTGTAATTTACGAGTAGTCAAGTCGTAATCCTTTGTATATATAATTTTAATAAATTTTAAAGTAATTATAAAAAGGATCGCTTGGTTTTTAATTGGAAAAAGTAAATAGATGAATTATTGCGGTTTCAATTACAAATATAAATTTGAATACAACATTTCATGTAAATTTAAAAGGCAGAAGTTTATAACGCATACTTGAATACTTGCTTTACCCTTCTTGTTGGTTTAATGCAATTGGAATTGCTATTCGTTATTTACTCTTGTATAATTATGTAGAAATACAAACAAAAAAGAAGATGTGGTATGATTGTCAATGAGACAACTCTCCACAAGAGACCAAATGACACAGAAATTAACAACTACAGGTCACCTTACGGCCTTCAACAATGAGTAAAACCCATTCCGCACAGTCAGCTAAAAAAGGCCCCGAAATGACAAATGTAAAACAACTCAAAAGAGAAAAGCACTTTCTTCTAGTTATGCTGCTTCCCAATTTATTTTTATCCAAACGTTAGTTTTTATCGTTCTTGGTGAACATTTATCAATAAATATGCATAGAACCCATCTTAAGCAATACATTTTGCTTTTATCTATTACCACTGGTGGTGGATTGCAAGTCACTAAATGACTACCAGTAGTTCGTTATGTTCTGCATTGGGGATTTATTAGGAATATTATTCTTAAATATTATAAACTTATTTTATTGTGTTGCACTCCTTAATGCTTTTTTGTACATTTGGCTCTCCGAACTTTTCAATCTAGCTAAAATCAGATGGTCGATGGTGGATGGTTGTCTCATTGGCAAGCATACCAGATCTCCTTATTTTTATATATCCGGAATACATTTCTCGGAAAATTCGTCATTGATTCCCTCTTGTGCACATGTATACCAATTTCATCTTCAGTTTCTCTCTATCTACTAAAGTATTATAGTTTCAAGATAATTTGCCAAAACGTAAAAATGTATAAATAATCATCATTTAAGGACTATTAGTCATAGGCGGATCCAGGAGGGGGGCCCCGGGCCCCCCCTTTTGTGGGAAAAATTTGGTTGATTATATAGGGAATCACTGAAGCATGACTGGAGCGGGCCCCCTTAGGTCAGTCAGCGGGTCCCCCCTTATGAAAAGTTCTGGATCCGCCACTGTTAGTACTATGCCTTTTTTTTATTTTAATGATATAGAAAGTAAGTAGATCTTGACATTATAAGTATTTGTGTCCCTGTCTGTTTTCTTTGATGTTCCAATGTATATCTATTATAATTTTCAAGATTTTAGACAATAACTTGTATTACCCCTTCGGTTCTATTTTTAGTCATGTAGAAAACACACACAAACTTTAGGACAGAAAACCTATATCAATATCAATCAGTTTAAGTTTAATTGAAACTGGTCCAGCGGCTTCAGAATATATTTTAAAGTTTATAACAACAGAGGATACATGGTCCAACACTTTTACACTAAAGAAGATTGGTTGAATAATTGAAGATCTATAATTTCTCAAAGCTTTTTCTATAACATAATGATGTAACCTTGATCTCTGAAAAATTAATAGTGTTCTCCTCATGATGACCCAATATACAAAAGTTTGGTGGAACTTGTGTTAAGGACAGACACATACCAACTAATAGACAGACAGATGGACGATGGGGTTTCTTTATCCCTGCTAAAACTTCAAAGCAGAGAGATAATTTGGAAAAAAGATGTTGACATCACTCAGGGACCATATTATTATTAGCCATAGGCTGTATCTAAGTTAACAAAATCTTCTGTTTATATGTCAGAATAATATTGTTTTTCAACAAAAAAATTATTTTAATACAAGTGAAATAAAGAAGTTGAAAATATTTTTGCATCTACACAGAAGTGCAGAAAAAATTCTATCGTTGATTTTTTCTTAAAATTTTGGCGGAGGGTTCTTGAAACAGAATTTGATCGATTGCAAAAGAAAAAACTGGGGGTCCATGTGCTTGTTTTTTCAATAAAAGCAATAAACCTTAATTCTTATTAGCAAACGGGACGTTTGCCAATAAGGCGCCAAACTAAATTGAAATAAGTTTTATTCGCAATGATGTCGTGAAATCTTTCCCGCCATTCACTACTACGTTGTCAATTTCAGTGGTAGAGCCAAGGTGTTTTTTTTTTTAAACCAATGATATTAATCATGAAAATTAATAAAGCTGGCTCCTCGTAAAATAGCATCATATTTGCCAAACCTTTATGAATTGTTACGAATTCAAACTTGGATAGAAAAACTTATAGTAAATTACTTTTAGAAAAGAAATGTTCGGAAAAAAAACAATTATATATCTATAATAAAAAAATTAAATTGCATCTCTGTCCGACATTAGTCATACAATTCATGTAGACAACACAGCTTGAACATAGTTTTAATTATTCAAATGGCCCCGACATGACAAAATGTGCAACAATTATAAAGTAAGGGGATGATATAAAAATAAGGACATTTGATATGATTGCAAATGAGACAACTATCAACCATAGTTCAAAAACGCTACTAAAGGTCACCCTACAGCCTTCAACACAAAAAAAAAAAGAAAAAGAAAAAGCCACACCGTATGGTCAGCTTTAAAAATCCACGACATGAAAATGTGAAATAATTCAAACAAGAAAACTAACGACCTACTCTAAAGGCATAACATGAATACAAAATCATACCCACATTAAATTGGGTCAGCTTAGTCCATTACAGTGTAGTATAACATTTCATACAGCAGTCGATATTAGAGCATGAAATTTAATGATTCTGTATCAATAGATAAGTTACCTACGCTTGTCTTCAGGGTATTTTTTTTTTTATTACGGTACATATAGTCATTGAATTACTTGTCTGTATTATACCTTCAATCTAGGAGTGAGTGAAACCACATTGTTTGTCCGGTCCAACAAATATTTTGTTTCTTATCTGAGAAACTACTTTACAAAAAGACTTCGTATTTGGTCAGTAACTTAACATCAATGAGTTGCAACTCTGGTCTGTCAAATACCTAATTCCTGTGTGCCGATTTTTCTCTCTCAATATGTACATATAGGATATGCTTAGCACATCAACAGGTGTGTTTTTGTTTTTGGTCTATAATACGGGGCTTAAAACTGAGTCATTTTAACTGACAATTCTTCTTCATACACTTGTATATTCCATGGGTTAAATTCTAAAAATGCCGTTAAACTCTTTAATGTACCTTTTCAAAGTCAGGAACAGTAAGATGCGCTGTCATTATTTATTACGTTTTTTTGTCATTTTGTTGATAGTCTCTGTTAAATTTATCTGTACAATTCTCATCACGATTAAGAGTTAGCCAAATGGGCACATCTTCCTATATCAAGTTACTATATAAATTACTTATGTTTTTTTTTTTTGTGTAGTTGGGTTTCTCTCTCATCGACGTTTTATAATATTGAAATATAGGTTAAATTTTGAGAAAGAAAAAAGAAATCTTGAAGGCTATAAAAAAAACTCCTCAAAGATACCAGGTTAATCAATTTTTTTATGCCAGATGCCTTTTCGTCTACAAAAAAGTCATCAGTGGCACTCAATTAAAAAAATTAAAAAGCCAAACAAAGTACAAAGTAAAATAGCATTGAGGACCCAAAAATAAAATGATTTTTAAATACGAGAATGATAGGACTGCAATATGTCAACAGGTGAACCTTCAACAATTTAATATCCAGCAAATGTAAACACGGTATAATATTTGACATGGTAATGTATGGACATAATAATTTCAAGAGGAATTTTCATGAAATCAGTAGGTAAATGGGTAAAACTGTTGTGAGAAACATTGTGCCTAAAAAACATATCTCTTAATCATTTCCTATATGAAATAACAGACATACAAAGTTAAGAATGTGGATTAGATTTTTTTCCCATTCTAAGTTAATATTGTTGACTTCGTTATTAATGAAGAAATATAACAATTCTTGTGATTTGGCCGATTTTCATTGCAGGTACTTTTTTCAAATTCGCGCAATCGGGATTATGACGTCAGTGGATTTCCGCAAATGTGACTACATCTAAAGCGACGTCGCAAAATGTAATCGTTCTTATTAGAAACATTGCGAAATAACAACGTTCTGATTAACAACGTCGCGAAAAACAACAGGAAAAGTTTTGAAAACGTTATAATCTGCCCCTGCTACTGTATCGTATGCCCTTAATTGATGTTTACCAATCTAATAAAATGTATCAAAACCAAATTAAAACTACCTGCCTTTCACACATATGTACAATTTCTAAACCTATACTTGTGAACTGTACACTTTACAACAACAAAAAATAAGAACTAAATATTTTATTAAAATTCTGAAATTTTATATAACAGCCTGTTATAATGAATGTTTCAATTGTACCAAATAATCTTTTGATTACAATATTCCTGTGACTTGTACAAAAGTCTTCTTTTGAATGTAAATAATGGCTTTTTTTTAAATCTGAAAGGAAATTAATATCTTATTGACCATCTATGAAATGGTAATTTTGTCTTAAAACTAAGTTAAAAGCATGACTTATTCACCTATCTATTGGTGAATTTTTTGTTTCTGATATTGAAATATAGGTTAAATTTTGAGAAAGAAAAAAGAAATCTTGAAGGCTATAAAAAAAACTCATCAAAGATACCAGGTTAAACATTTTTTTTTACGCCAGACGCCTTTTCGTCTACAAAAAAGTCATCAGTGGCACTCAATTAAAAAAATTAAAAAGCCAAACAAAGTACAAAGTAAAATAGCATTGAGGACCCAAAATAAAATGATTTTTAAATACGGGGCATTGCTGGGCATAGAATGATAGGACTGCAATATGTCAACAGGTGAACCTTCAACAATTTAATATCCAGCAAATGTAATCACGGTATAA